TACAGCTTGTTTTAAGCTTTGTCGATTAAACGCACCTTTCCTCTAGCTGCACAAATATCTGCCAAAAAAAGCCCAACAACAAAGATAATAATATTTTATTACCATACCTCTTTCGTCGATAATAAATTTTATCGTTGCTTTCTTCAAGCTCGTCTCTTCAATGATAAAGTAATCTATATAAGGAGATGACTCCTGCTACATTTTAGGCGACTTTTTACTTTTATAACATTTCAATTCAACAGCTATACGCACTCAAGTCTACAACGCAACAACAGGTAAGGAATCAATCAGAAAAGAGAAAATCAAGAATCTGTGTATCAGGAGCATCTGGATGTACGTAGGCGTAGGAGTGACGGCTTCAATGTTGATGACAGTGAAGGGAACACTCGTAATCGCAACTCGGCACTGATCCCACAGTCACACTCAGACATCCAAATGTACAACCATGAGTGTGGATGCTAGTCTTGACTCAACATACACCAGCATCCAGATCCTCATAGCCACAGCCACATCCGATGAGAACGAGACTTGATATCTTTTTTTCAACCACTCATCCGAATCTACAAAGGTGTCAAAAACTTCTCATAGTTTTTGAATAGATAGACGAATATCAGTTGATTCTTCTATAGAAGCCAAACTTTATTTTAATATGGTTTTTAAATATTTACAAGAACGAAAAATTGCGTTCAAATTGAAATATACCCTATGTTTAAGTTTCAATCTTGCTTTCCATGATATACTTGCAACGAGAATTTTTGTTTTTATTATTCTATTTCGGAGTAACAGTATTCGAATCAGTGCTAGTAATTTATCAGAAATATGAAGCCAATATGCTGCGTATTCAGATATCCATATCTATTAGAATATCTTCATATTCTGTATATCTTCATTTGTCTATAGTAAGAGATGTAACCCTGAGAATTGTCGATAGGCATCAATAACTATCGATCAAAGTTTTCGAGCATCTGTGGAATTCATTTGTTTACCCTTCAGCGAATCATAACTAACACAGTATGATTTAGGAACTTTAACGTGCATCGATACTCACAATAAAATTGTTTTAGCTCTACAACAGCACAGTGAGTTTCAATCGAATTCAGATCATATATAGTCAGTATATGAAATTACGAAAGGGGAAATTTTCGACTCATAAAGTTTTTACCTTCGTAGGTTATCCAGTTCGTAGTGGAACAGAATCGCTCAAAACATTACTCTGCTGTGCATAGTCGAATAGCGACACGGGTTTGTAAGCATCATATATGATTTATACAATTGGAAATGCAGTGAATGAACAGAATGAAGAAAAAGACGACTTTCGTGGGACTCGAGCCCACATCTCCCGCTATTCGGGCAAATGTTCTAAGCCAATTAAACCAGAAAACGTGTCTTAATCTTGGTTTAGCATCGCAGTGTATCATCATTGACGCTAACAAGTTTTTGTTGCTGATCTAGATTTATTGGATGGAATGTGAGTGTGAGTAAGAGTTAAGAGAAGAGCCATATTGACCCTGCTTCGTTCAAAAAAGAACATAAGAGAGATAAAAAATTAAAAGTGAATGGTATATTTGTTTACTTTAAATGACTCGAGAGAGAAAAACTACGCTACTGTAGTGAATATATTGACTGCTGAGTCAGTTTTGCGAAGCTCACATATTTTTCGAAGGAAATGGTGAGTGTAAGTTTAAGAGCGAGTTTTCGTGGCTCCCACTCCTGCTAGACCCCTCTCCATTACAGACCGTAGCAATGAAGAATAACAGGCGTCACATTTTTTAGATTTTGTTGCAAAAAATGATCAAGTTATAATCTTGAAAAATAATAAATATTACTATTTGTGAGTTGATTAACATAAATAATAGTGCTTGAGACCTGCTGTAGATATCATGAACATATAAAACAGACATATTTGTCAATTAATTCAATGATTATAATAATAAGAATGTTAAATTAAGAAAAAAAGAATTTTAAAAAATGAAAATTCTTTTTGAAATGCAGAAATTAGAGAAGCCGTTACTCTGAATATCAATTATCCTGCAAGCACCTATAATCCACAAGAGATTTATCACTTTATGTGTTGCATATTAGTTTAATCAGGCTAGATGGTATATATGAGTTCTATATTTCAGCCTCAAAGGAGCTGCGCTAACAAGCTTTTTCATGAAATAAAAGTAACAAAAATGGCTTTGATGGAACCAGAAATCTTGATACTCATCTTGTTACCGGCATATTGTCATTTTCAGGCATTAACACAGAACTTTTTGTCACTTTCAATCGCTTGGCTTTAAATTTCAGACATTTTGAAACTCGAGGACGCGATATAAACACTTTGATCAGACTATAGATAATGCTATAAGAACATTTAGCTGGGCAAAGCGAGTACGGAGAATGTTGATGATATCATGTGGATATAAAGCATATTTTTAACATGTTTAGATTATGAAATTTCCGTAGGGATTACTGAATATGGGAATCTACATTTTCTACTCTTGAAGAATAATGGTTCGTTTCATTCCGCTCCTTAATGTGCTGCCAAAGAATCATTTCCCATATCTAGTACTTCTAATATCCTATCTTCAGTGCAACTCATCCTTTCAGCAGAGGATTAGCAGCGTTCGCGCTGCGTTACTTGTATAATTAGACCACTTATAGATCAGAACAATTGAGCATAAGTGTATGATAAAAACCTAATAATTGTCATTCGTCAAACTTTCACAATTAGATAAGAAATTACTTCCACGAAGATTTGATAAGCACTTGCTGGGATGATCTATATTATATTTTACAAGTTTTTTCGGTTCTTCTTCAAGAACTTTTTTCTTATGTATATTGAATCAATTTCTCCTACAATATTAAAGCTTAATCCTTTACAGAAGCCTCTAGTTGCTTATGTTCTTATATCAGGACTGTTATAAGCCGTCCAGACTAGGCCTTTTTTCAGGACGTTGATAGGTTTTTAGATGTTGAATTTTATATGGTTAGATGCAGCATGAAAAGCTCTACAAAATGAGATTAAAAAAGTTTTTGGTGGCTTGACAAATAAAAATATAATAGGCTTAAAACTAGAAGAAGTACACTCATTTTACACCTATATTTTCCACGGATTTTGACTTTAAGGACCATATAGCTCCAAGTCTCAACAGCAAATGTGTTTCACAATTTGTAGGTTTTTGTAGAGTATCTCAGTGGCTATCAAATGAAACTTGAATAGACTCGATCACTTTAATCGTTTTCGAGAAAATGCCAAAATACGAACGACAGTCAAGTCTAGGTCAAAAGGACATAAGGATCGAAAGGGCGCAAAAACTATCTTGGCTAAAACTTTTTTACCAGGGTTTTAAATCAGAAAAATTTAGATTTGTCGGTAAAAATGAGGGTGTGGGTGTGGGGCATGGGTATGTGGGTGTGAGTGTGTGGATACTTCTACTATCAGCATCGACACCCTCACCCACATCCACACCCACTCACATCCACATCCACACCTACCCACATCCACACCCACACCCACACCCACCCAAATCCTCCTGCCCACCCGCAACCACAGCCACACTCATCCACAGTCACACGCACACAGGCGATTACACCAACGACACCAACAACCTTGAATGCAGACTCTCGACCCGGGAAAACTATGGCAAAGTATAATCAGGTTGGTCAAAAACCCCATGAATAGCAAAGCTCATTTCTGATTGTTCCGTTTTTTGACCAATAAAAGATCGGATCAAAAGCTGACCTCGGATTCGGACTCCTGGACCCCGAAAACCTATAGCAAAGTTTCATCAGAATAGTCAAAAATCCAATGAACAAAATAGCTCAATTCTGATTGGTCCATTTCTCGACCAATGAAAGATCGGGTCAAAAATTCGATCGCGGATCGGACTCCTGGACTCCGAAAACCTATAATAAAGTTTCATCAGATTGGTCGAAAATCCGATTACTAAAAAAGCTCGATTCTGATTGGCCCGTTTCTCGACCAATGAAAGGTTGGATCAAAAATCCGACCTCGGATTCGGACTCCTGGATCCCAAAAACCTATAGCAAAGTTTCATCAGATTGGTCAGAAATCCGATAAATAGACAAGCTCGTTTCTTATTGGCCAGGACAGACAGACAAACATACATACATTCTTTTAACTGTAAGACCCTTTCTTTCAGAAAAGGGAATAAAATATCGTTATTTTCTCTAAAAACCCTTTCTTTATCGAGAAAATCAAACCGGCGAAAAACCGGTGAGATCGGTGAAAAACCTATGAAACCGGTAACCGCACCCCGCTTGCCGGCTACGACCGGTGCCGTAGTGCCGGTTATCGGTCGGAACTGGGGAAACGATGACGGTATACCGGTGAATGATCGTCACCATTGCATCCCTAAGCCATACTCACACCCATATCCCTACCCACACTCACATCCACACCCACTCCCACACTCTACCCATTCACAACCCCACCAAGACCCCTCCTCATTCACGCACTCAACCATCCATTTGTACTCGGCCCCAGTTTAATAAAATCACAGTTAGGGGCGTGCTTGTTCATCCTAGTTGCTAAAGTCGAAGAGTAGCTTTTGATTGCCAAGTAGTGCATCAATATCGTCAACACTAAGTCATGCATTTCTTGATTTGATTGTCATATATTTGGGCACTTTGCAAGTTTCATCACATACTTCTCGAATTATTTTGATACCTTTGATCATACTCCATTATAAAATATCAGTGGTGCCTCTGTAAAAGAAATTACGTTAAAGATTTCACTGCTGCATACTGAGAGAACTTACAGATCGGAGACTTCCAGAATCTCCAGCACCGTAAAGACATCATTCAACAAGTGCTTCACTTTCTTGTGCTTGTATTCATATACTAATTGTCAGATTCTTCGTTTGCTCTCGATGTTAGCGAACAGCATGATTCATCATTTTCATCGAACGATTAATCATCATGTGATTATTTAATAAATTTTTTATTCTTATAACTTCATATTTCGAATCCAACAAGATACTCCAAGTTGAATCATGAGTGAAATTGGAACACTTAATGATCGTGTTCAATCCTTGTTGTTGATGACAAGCGATGATGAACAAGCTATCATTGCTACCCTTGACCATTTAGTCAAAGACTTTGGTGTAGACGAAGTTCAACGATGGTGTATACTGCAATCAAGACACAAGAGCTTATTGATACACGAGTTCGTTCGTTTGGGTCTATTGAAAACCATTGAACATGCAGCTAATGAATTGGGTTTTGATATCAATGTAAAGCGTGAATCGGATGGAAATACACCGCTGCATTTAGCTTACTGGTATGGGAAACCCAATATTGGTGAACTTCTCAAGAAACTGCAAGCGAATATGACCATAGTAAATAATTATGGAGAGTCTGCTAATGATTTGGAGCGAACAAGAGAGAACATGATGAATATTATTTGGCTAGACACAGGTGAGATTTTTCAGTGCTCATTAGAAACGTTACACTTCTGATTAAGACAAGCAATTCATGATAAGGCCACCGAAAAGGTTTTCAGTCAGAAATTTAGTTTCAGTTTAGAATCATCGCCTTGTTTGGTCAGATCGACGATCAGAAAAAGGCATCAACGCTTTTTATCAGCTAGAAATATGATAAGCAAAAATACTTTTTCGCAAAAAGATGTCTATTGATTTTCACTTCGCTTGACATAAGCTATGATTTGTCTGCCGAGACCAATCCAAAAGTTCTTGAGAAGATTTCTTTTCGTTTGATCCTATTGAGGGAATGATATATATGACGCAGATTCTCGTTTACGATTAAAGTGGTATTATCTTGTTTACCTTCGAATCCTGTATAGATTGCAATGAATATTTTTGAAAACCTTATAGCGAAAGATCCACTCGAAACTCTATCAGCATATCTAACTTTTCTAAGACTATTAAATGATTTGCTTTATAGGATTAACTAGGACGAATCAGGCAGCGAAACTGAACAAGAATATCAACTCTGTATGTGTTTCTCATGTGCTTCACTTAGTTAGCTTAGAATAATAGGGAATAGCGATTGATAGAAAAGAAGCTTGAGTTTGAATACTCACATTTGGTTAGCTGGTTACAAAAAACAAGTGTTTTGCAGACACGTACCGAAGGAGACTCAGGAAGCTCAAATCCGTCTAAGGAATAAGAGCACCTGAGGCGTGGTATGAGCAGAAGCTTTTTGCATAGTAAAGTATTTTTTCCCACGATAGGCTTCCTCAGAAAAAAATTCTGCGTATGTGCCTGGAATTTTGTATTCAATTTAAAATTCTTCATATGAATTTAATCAATTCAAAGACTCGCAAAATATTAGAATTTAAAAAGCATCAGCATCCAACTTTTCACCAACGTTTAACCTGCCAGATTTTCAGAGATGTTGAGCAGGTGATTCTGACTCTTCGATTGTCGCGTAACTCATTTGCTTTCTACAATAATCATATTATTTCTATATATCTTTTAGAACTAACGTCCTTGGATGATCCTCATATATTGGAATGTGCTGTGATTATTACGGACAAAAATTTGAACGAATTGGAACATGGGCATTGGATTATCCACTATGAAAAACCTGAATTAGAAAAGCTATCTGATTTCCATCAAAAAACATTCAAGAGCAGAATCGATGGTACGGAATGCTACTGATACAAACGTCATAGTATATTCAACGATGAATAATTCTTTTGAAAAATGATTTGTCCCTGAATTCTGTTTGAATGCTATTTAATTTCTCTGTTTGTGATTTTTTAGGTGGAAATGGCTTGTTCGATGATATCGTGGCATCGAAAACAACAAAAGAAGAAATGGAAAGGCAATTACTGGAGTTAATTAAGCGACACTGCCCGGAGAAAAGTTGTCCATTGGCTGGCAGTTCGATTCACTGGGATCGTGAGGTTGTTCGGTTACGGATGCCATCTGTTTACAACTATCTACACTATCGCATCATCGACGTCAGCAGCTTCCACGGAATGGTTGAACGCTGGTCAACGCCAGAAAAGTGGGCAGAAAAAGAGAAATATGTAGAAAATATTATGCAAGAAAAGTATCGAGGCAATCCTAATGAGAGCGAAGCACATCGAGCGATGTATGATATTGAACGATCAATCGAAATTTTAAAATTGTTTAAGAAATGTTTCGCGACATTTTGAAATTATTTTGCAATTTAATCTTCTGATAGATATCCGTATAATATACGTCTTGTGTAGAATTACATTTTTGATGGTAAAACAAATACAAATGTTATAATTGGTGGGAGTGAAATAAAATAACCAATGAGAGACAGTCAAGAATTTCAAGCTAATTCCATACATCCGAACAGAAACGATATATTTAGCCGGTGTAGAGCTAATAAAATGAGAATCGGTAGTGAAATCACTAGATGTTTATTATGCTCAATCTGTTTGCGTAAATATTCGTTGAATGATTTGATTTTCTGAGAGCTCGAACAAATAAGAGTTCCATTGACGAAAATGACTAATGTCGAGATACAATTAATTAAAAATGGAACAAAGAAATGAAAAATATTCAAAATTCAATCAAATATTTGTAAGGATCATAAATATCGCCTTACACACCATGTGCATTATTCTTTATCGTCAGTTAAGGCGCCTTCTCAGAGAATCGAGTTTTTCAGGAAAATTTCGAAGTTGAGTTTTTATTACAGAAAGATGCGGCGAAGCTTCCTCTTTCAGAATATATATAGTTTTTTGAAAAATGATCAGATTTTCAAAGACTTATCACATGAAACTTAAAATCTACTGCCATGTTTTCGTAGAAAATTTCATAGTTTTTCAAGGTTGTCAGTTTCAGAAAAATTGCGTTCCCACTAGCATTGTCGTTGAATAGGACATTTTCATACTCATCAGCATGTCAGATGGCGTTAGCTGCCGTCATCTATGACGTTCTTTAAGAGGGTCCAGTGGAATATACCATTGTAACATTACTTGTTCTGGATTTGAATGAAAAAATCCATTTCTAAAATTTCTTTAGCGTTTTTCTCAAAACACAGTTTCTCGATAGGAAAGTTGAAATAACTTCCACTCGGCTCCGCATATAATCGATGCTTTTTTTGTTTTAAAGGTCTTGATCAGAGCTAACTTTTCATCTGACGGATTTTGGATATTGAATCCCAGGGCTGAGAAAAGTGAGATTTACTGTCGTAGAATCGCACTTTTTTATGCTTATTTTGCAAGCATGTCCACAAAATTGCTTGTAAAAAATGAATGAAAGGGAGTTTCAAAAGTCCGTCCGATGAAAAGTTGTGTATAGAGGCTGGCTACAATTTGAAACCATCCCGAGCTCTGTATCCCTTCTATTGACAGAGTTATTTTGGTTCTTCTGGGAGGTAGGAAAACAAGCTGAAAGTTCCATCTACTCGGACATATCAAGCTGAAATTTTTACTATAAGCGTTTCTTACCAAGAGTAATCTTCCCTGAAAATTTCGGCCCAAACGGTGGATCCCGAGTGGGAAATCATTTCTGAGGGCGCCTTAAATAACTCTGTAAAAAAAGGAGCTTTACTGAACCCCTCGAAAAGGTTCTGTAGATTTCGAAAAGCATCCAAATGTGTCCAAAGTCTCAAAAAAAGGATAAAAAATTCAACAGAACCTTTTGAAGGTTTGTGGAGTATCCACTAGGGTGTGGGTGTGGGTGCGGGAAAGAAAGACTTACACCCACACTCACCCGCACACTCGACACTCCACACCCTAATAGATTGAAAGAAAATCGTTCTTGTTCCAAACGGAAAGTTACGTAGAATATGTTCTTGTAAGGTGAAAAATGTTAAGGATATACTTGTATTGAAAACAAAATGTGTTACACATTTTACATCGAGGATGGGGTGTGGATGTGTATGTGGGGTGGGGTATGGGTGTGGGTGTAAGTCTTTCTTTCCCGCATCTACGCACACCCAACTGGTGAACTTCAACGCATTTCAGATGAAAGGAGAAAAAAAATATATGCCAATTTATGTCGTATATGATTTTGGAATGTTTAAGAAGAAGAGATGTTTGTTCTTAGCTTCTTCTAAAAGCGAACAAAAATTATATCAAATAATACAATTCTAAAGTATTCTTTGTGAGCTATCAATCACAAAATAAATTAATTCGAACGATATCTGTATTAAAGAAAATATCTGTATAAATAGGCATGCAAGGTTTTTCTGCACACACGTATAGATTGCATGATGCAGTAATAGGAGTAATAATTTCTCAAAGAAGAAAGTGAGGAAAGATATTTTGCGTGTATAAAAATGTCTGTAGACTTTTGATTTCAATTCAGTTTGTCTCTTTCTTTTTACTTTGAACCAAGAAAATACACACTCAGAAAGTCTCTCACTTTATCTCAGCAATTTTGCTGTTTGACATAAGTGTTCATGATGCAATTCACCCACAACCTTTGAATTTAAAACCATGCCGTGATGGGCAATGGACTGCATGTGGTATTGCTGTCGGTACTGCAATTTATAGAAAGTATAAATCATGGATTGATATCGACGAAAAACAAGTTTTTGGCACTAATTGCAAGTCACAATTCAAAGTAATTTTTTATCGCTGGGAATGGGTATGGAGTGGCCAGTTCTGGTGTTCAGTATTGAGTGCAACCATCTTAGGTGAAGGTAAAAATCGGAAAAGTCGAGCTGGAGCGATCGAACATGCTATCCAAGATTATGTCAGGAAAATGATATTGGCGGGCTGACTGACATCCTCACAGCTACAAGCATAATGAAGTGATGTGCGATCTATCTCGACATATAGTCCTTACCTTCGTATATTTTCGCATTATTTACCTTCCGTGTTTTTTTTCTGAATAATCTGTACTCTCATTTCTGAACCCCTATAACAAATATAAAAAATTTGCGTGTGGTTATGAGTGTAGCTTTTGAAGATAAAGACGCCGACACCGACACTGACACCCACACCCTGCCAACAGCCATTGTACGTATATTATCCTCAAAAGTGTTTTTTTCGTTAAAATTTCGCTTCCACTCTGTCTTCTCTTTGCGAAGATTGTTTGACAATATATTTTGACTGAACATGTATCATTTTATGTAGATTAACATTTACTCATTGACTATGCACTTCCATCTTAAGAGAACTGAAAATGATGTCAAATAGGGTGTGTATGTGTTATTGAAGGGTGTGGGTGTGGGTGGGTGTGGGGGTGTGAGTGTAGGTGTGGGTGTCTTTAGTAGTCTACACCAACACCCACACCCACACCCACACCCACACCCACACCCACACTCACGCCCTACCCACATCCACGCCCACACCCACCCACCCACACCCACACTCACACCCACACCCACACACCCGAAGTCACACCCACACCCACACCCACATCCACACCCACACCCACACCCACACCCACACCCACACCCACACCCACACCCACACCCACATCCACACCCACACTCACCCTCAATCACACACGCACACTCTCACCCACCCACCCGCACTCGCACTCGCACCAACACCGACACGCCTTTATTTTTTTTTCCAGAGTATGATCTATGGAATGGTAAAATGCTGTTTTCTGTTACAATATCCGACCCAGTTGAAATATAAATATGATATTAGTAAGTAGCGCGGGAAATTGCATAGAAATTAAACGCTTTCAAGGATATTTGAGAAAAGAAAAATTCTGGTGCTGGAGACTACCCCAGGGGTGAAAACTTCATATTGAGAGAGCACAAAACTAAGTCGTAGGAAACACTTCTAATAACTCTCTGACGCATCTTAGATAGATGAAAGTCAAGATATCATGGGAAAAAGCGATCATTTCAGTCCACACATCATTTCACTTTTGTTATTCAATACAAATACAACTATGATTATGTGAAAAATGCATTCAACATATCAAAGATAAATGCTATTGGATTCAGATACATCATTTCTCATTAGAGAAAACTCCAACATTATTCTGTCGACAAACTTCACTTTTTCATCTCAACACAAAAGAAGCCATGATTAACTGATATTGTATGCATTAGAGTCCATCTAGAGATCAATGCACAATCGATGCCTATCAATCTATTGAGACATTCATATATCCACCTTTGGACACTTTGTTCACTTCGTAAAAATCAAGTAAAACAGTTTTATTTCAATCTAGACGAAACACGTTGAATATCTTGCTTGATGTTAACAATATTAGGATGTTCAGCAGGTAATTTTTGTTGATAGATGGTAAATGTTTTTTCATAAAATGAAAATGCCTCTGGGAAATCACCTTTCTGCTCATAAACAAGACCGATATTCTCGTATGTATTTGCAATGTCTGGATGTTGAGGAGGAAGAGACTTTTCGAAGATTTTGAGCGACAATCGATAATGCTCTAATGCGAGATCATATTCACCGAGAGAATAATGAACATTGGCAATATTGTGGTGTGATTTACCCAAGTCAGGATGATCGGCAGGAAGATGATTCTGAGAAATAGCCAAGTCCTTCTTGTAGAACTTAAGTGCTT